ACATAAGCTTGATGGATGTAAGATAACGAGTTTCACAATCCCATTTTAAATGCTATGGCTTTTGGCAGTTTTGCATCATATGTGTTTTTCAGTAAAAGCCCCATTTTCCTACTTCCCCAACGTGTAAATTCGCGAAAACTGTTTATTAATAATAACAAAAATTTGTAATAGTAAACAGTGTATTTTATTATAAAGTATTTTCGTTTTTCTACTGCTCCGTACTTCGTGTGCTCCGTGCTCCGTGCTCCGTGCTCCGTGCTCCGTGTGCTCCGTACTCCGTGTGCTCCGTGCTCCGTGTGCTCCGTACTCCGTGTGCTCCGTGTGCTCCGTGCTCCGTGCTCCGTGCTCCGTGTTTTACTAATAGCCCAATGACCATGATTGCGGACTGGTACAGTTCTTAGGCCTCTTTTCCACTCATCGCAAGAGTCAACTCGCAAGCTCGCTGCCAGCGCTTTCATCCAATCACAGTGCTCGACAGTTTATTTTAATTAGATGCAAGCACTCGCAGCGAGCTTGCTAGTTTGTTTATAGGTGAAAAAGAGCCTTAAATCGACTGGTTCTTTTATTCGGCATTTTAAAATGTGCGTTGGCATGTTTAATCAATGTTATGTCCTTTTATTATACAGTGTGTAGAATAATCAAAGCAGTTTGCCGCCGATTATGCAACTTAATCCCAATTCCTATCATCCGTAACCTATGTCTTTCCATCTGCAATTTTGTAAGTACATATTTGACGCTTGTAACTCATTTTCTACGAAGAATAAAATATGAAAGTTTACGTCCATATAAATATTTAAAAGTAAATCCAGTACGCTATCTTAATTTTTAAATAGGTATAATTTCTGCATTCATCATTCCACTATAGACTTACTAGGCTTTGACGTCAGTAGCCTGTAGCAAACTAAATTTCTAAAGGGAGCAGGACAACGTGACGGCGACCGCTGTTAAAACAATGAAATTCAGTTTCTTGTTTCAGTCGTTCCGGACCATCTCAACATTGTTTTGTCTTTAGGTTGACAAATTTCCAAATAGAGCCGCCTGTACAACCGCCTGCAAGAGGATACCTTTTGCACGCGTGCAAAGGATATGCATTAGAGCGTGCAAAATTGTAAGTAAAGAGGGTTGTACAGTATATCAACCATGCAGGGACTCTGTCTGGCACAGTTTGCGTGAAGGTCGGAAAGAAGAGAACCAGTGTGATACGTTCAACATCAGAGAAAAATTTCATACTTCCATATAATTCTGTTTATAATCTCTAACGGTCCAGTTGTGTCAGTGTATTCCCAACGAATGGCCTTCACTTGAAACAGATTTATAACTGATTAACGTTCTCAAATATCGTATCTTTATTGTGGGATGCAGGCAAATGTTACAATACTGGTTTCAAAATTCGAATTCCTGGAGTGGGGTTCTTCTAGGGAAATCCGTTTGTCCGCATTTCTCGTGTTCCATTCTCTCGTGAAGTCTTTATATTTTGATTAACGCTTGAAAAACTTGTTCCGATGGCCAAAATGCAAAATTTAGAGGAATCAACTTTTCTTTAACATTCAATTTACACTAACATAGAAAGATTAAATCATAACCCATTTCTTTCTCTTTCTCTAGTGCCTCCGTAACCGTTGATTGTTACTCCAAAACCAATTTTCCTTTTTTTTTATCTCAAATGTATTTTTAATTAACTAGTTTTGAATTAAGAAATGAAATATTTTCTTAATAGCAATTTGTGTATGTACAATTACATCATCTCTTGAGATTTGTATATAGTCATTCATTTTATGGAAATAAAAATTCAAGCCTAAATTGATCTATAAATTCTGTTCTAATCCATTTGTAGTCCAGCGAACTAGTATTTGGTAAAATCATAGACAATCCAGAAGACATCTGTCTTCTGGATTGTCTATGGTAAAATCATGCATGCACTTTATAAAGAAGAATTATCAAATTTCGCATAGTTATAGCATTTGATGCTGCAAAAAGGTTACATGGTTACCAGAAAGCAGCGATTTAAAAAAAAATACCTAGTAAATCCCTATATTTAATTTGTAGTATTTCGTAACATTTTCCTTATATTTGAGTTAATAGCTCAAAATTAGCTTGGAAAATCCTACTACTCACTTGTGAATTGTATGCATAGTTTTCGTAATATTTTTAATGTCATATATATGAAATGCTATCACTGTGCCACAAAGTCTGAGATTTTCTGATCTATCCGCTGTCAAGAAGGTAGCATTGCAATAGATTGGTGGAGTGGTCTGCACGTTCTGGCCTTTGCATCAACGACGTCAGGACCGTGCCAGCTGGTGTGTGAAAGGAGTGTAATTTAATTCTTTATTTAGGCTATTTATTAAACTCGCCAACACAAACGTACATACAAACATGACATTACAACAACAGAACATGTACATCACTGAATCTAACAACGAATGGCGGGGACACCACAACGGTACAAACCAATTACTGTGGGCTCTTGTTGACAAATATGACAAACTATAAAATCGAATTCTATGAATAGTAAAAGCCATGCTACACGAGGCAACCTCCACTGCAACCCGCAAATAAAAATCTTAAAGGATGCAAAGTGAAAGAAATAGAATAAAGGATGTCGTGCACTTTAGTGCCTTTTAAATAACACGAAACCGCGTAGCAAGTCGCAGCAAAAATTTTCTCGCGCCACATCGCATTCAGCTACAGCAAGCTATTTCATCGTTCATATTCCGAGGACAGTTACATCTTAAACATATTGTCTTCCAAGTTCTTGGATCATCAGTATCATACGACTAACCCCCTCCACCCCTATGAAGTCGCAAAGGGAGCCGAATTTCTGTTGAGCAATGAAAATCCTTAACTTCATGATGAAAGCATGAGGAATTTTGCGGAAGTGGTTTAAAACTTTTCCTCTGTTCTGCGCATTGTCATTGGTTGATTCTTTTTGTCAGCTAATCACAACGCACAGAACAAAACAGGAAATGAATAAAATCTAATTGGCTTTTAGGAACATTACAAATTCTCTTAAGGGATTTACAAGGACGTTTTTACAAATTTGCGATTGATTTAGGAACTCAAACGAGGCCGGAATGCTTGACGTAGTTTACCTGTAATAGGTCCTTCCACTGCGTACAACTAATTTGCGCGAAGGAGACGCAGAAACCATAAACTATAGTTAAAGTTTACTTCCGACGTTTATTGCGCCTAAAATTAATAACGTAGTCTATAAGTAACATAAAACGTTAAATAACAGTCTTTGTACTGGTTATATAAACATGCGGTTGTAAGTTACCCGAAGTGAGTTCAGTTATACAGTTGTTCACTATATAGTGGATTCTTTTTTGGTATTTTTGGTATATGTTTTACATAGCCTACATCCTGCTACTTCCAAGGTATAAGATGGTAAATAAATATACTGTGTATATACAATTCATTAGATTACACTGTGCATTATGGTGTTGCTTCCATGACCTACTTTATCGGCCAATTATCGCAGAAACTTGTTGCATGCTGTATCTTATACAGTAACATTATACAGTATAGTAACATTATGCAGTATACAGTAACTTTATACAGTTAAGAAAGGTCCTTCATTGTTTGAGCGTCTGTCTTCAGAAGACGAATTCTCTAACTCTCCAAGGTGATAACCGTTACCATTCGTCTCAAATGCAAAGTTGTCTCGGCCTAGTGAATTTTCACTTTGTACGGACGCGTTCGGTGAACTGTGGCACGTCTCTTCATTCTCTATATTGAACAAAGTTTACGTGGATGTTACTTTATTCTTTCTTTATCAATCAGCACTCCTCGAATTTGCTGGCTGGCAAAGAAACTACATATTTACGATGGATTATATTGTCCGCCTAGATTTCGAGCTACTGTTTCCTGTGCACTTATATATAGACACTCAAACAAGTGTCTATACTCTTTATTTTATTGTGTTAATCACAGAACGAAGCATTTAAAACATGCAGCTACAAAGTGATCTGGTAATGAAAAAGATATGGATTAGTGATCAAATAGAGATCCATTTTCAGATCAAGCCGATTATTAAATATTCTTGTGAAGAGAATTAATTGCATGGGGTTCGATTCGTGCAATATACAAATAATAATCTTCAGTCACATGTAAGAAGAACGACTCAAGTTTGACTTCACAATACACAGCAGGTTTTCTTCGGATACACTGATGATCCTCTTTTAACAATCTGGAATTTATATAGCTATCCAGTATAACTGAAGTTACCGCAGCATGTTACCCCATGCAAAGAATTAATGATATATTTCGGGCAGCAAAGTGTTTGCAACATTACTAACCTTGGACAGTAGACGTAACGTATACATCATCTTCATTCGCCTCCTCAGCGACAGAAATGTTCAGGTTGTTATATCCACCATTACCACTGCTTTCAGATTTACTTCTCTCTAACTGTAGCCTCGCAGTACTTTCAACCATCCTCTGGTTTAAACCTGAACCGAATGTCTTGCTCGGTGAAATCGTGGAATCTGAGAAAACAAACGATGTCGTTACGTTGAGTGTAAAAATATCCGTGAGAAGAATGAAATTGCTAATTTACTAACGAAGACATGGAACATAAAAATATAAAACATGAAATGTTGAAAACTGAAAACTATGTTTTGTTACTCTTTGGACGGCGAACAGATTTTTTGCTTTGGCAAGTTGACAATGTGCTTCTTCTTATTGTGCTGTTGCGGACGACCTCTCGCATCTGTAAAACATAAGACGTAGTACTATGATCCAACACATTTAAGTAATTTACCTGCTGTCGAAGTGGCTAATTCGCTTAAAACGTTGAAGTATTTTTAAAATCTTTTTCAGGTAGTTCAGACCCAAACCACAGCCCAAGCTTCAGATATCCTCACCCTTACCTGTTTATTAAGGACACAATGGAACAGAAAAATGAGCATTCCTTGTGCAGAGTTAAACACGGCAAAAAGATAGCGGACGAACAATGATTCTCTGTTGAACGTGATCAAGCCAAACACCCAAGTTAGACCAAGGACTGGGAAGATTACTACAGCTGTTTTCACACCAGTTCTCACTTTTCCAATATTGGCCTGTTGCTTGACTGTGTGAGAGTTCATCACCATACGTAAGACCATGACAAACACGATAGTGTTGGCCTGGAAGATGAAAGAATGAAATACAGACAAAGGAGGGAACCTAAACTAAACCGTTGAACTAAACTAACCGTTTATTTATACTAGATATCTCTATCAATTCTAAACTATTACCTGAATAAGTACAGTCAGGGTCATTTCTACTTGGTCCAGGCAACAATTGCGGTGTTCGTTAGAGTCACTCTTCTCGGATGCTTCTTCGGCGAAATTATGTTCAGCCGATAACTGAGTATTGCTGGAATCGAAGCCCGGTCAGAAAGGTGACAGATACCCAATCCATTGTGCCACAAGTACCTCACTTTCAATTCTAAATTGTTCTAACAACGAAATGAGAGCACCTACCAATATGACAAGGAAAGCAGGTCCCACAAACGCCCAAATCACTTTATTTTCAACACTAAGCCAACATGAAAATTCTGTACCATATCCTTTACCCTGAGTCGCTCCAAGCGATACAACAACAATCAATAAGGGAATGCCTGTAAGGTAAGGGATACAAGTATTATGGGTGGTAAACACGTCGTGTTATATATTTGCCTCTACTTATCAATACTCAGGTTGTTAAACCCTTATTAGATAGAATTCGCTTTTCATGCAAATCAGAGAGGCAATAGAGTTGTACCAGAGTCGCTGCCTCGCAATACATAGCTTTCGCTAATCACTAAGATATCAGCGTGAGAAAAAGTTGTTAATTCTTTTCATTATATGCAGTAACCTCGTCGCAATTGGGAGATGTAGTCTAATTTTAACAACATTTTTCAAGTTGATCACCATCTGCTGTCCCGTAATGCTAACTGAAACTCGCCTTTAGGATTTATTCTTACTTACTCTGCATTTAAATACTGAAAAATCTGTCCATGACGGCCGGAATGACAGACTACATTACTTACCCCAGCCAATAAAATTAAACATTTTCCAATGTTTGCCAAGTACACCATCAAATACTTTGATCAGTAAGATGTACAGTAATATTCCCTCACACAACATCCATCCGAACGCTGACAACACAAAGAAATGCAGGAAAGCTGCAACTGCTTTACAGAAATTCTGTTGAAAATATATCAGACATAATATATATTGTCGCCGTTTTTGAATTGCCATTAAAGTTACTTTCTACAATAATTTTATGTTTATTTAGCTACCGTACTTGAATTCACCAGAAACGATACATAAGAACTTGCATTAAACTATATTAAACTCTAAACACTAAACTGTAAGTCTAAACACTAAACACTAAACTAAGTTTATTTCTACTGGATAATTATAAGTTTTGGATAAATTTTTCTCCCTTGACGATCCAATAACAACCACTGATCCATCAGTATTGGTCCAGTGTCTTATTTCGAGACCAAGGGTCCAGTGTAAGAGGAAAGCGGTGAACGCGGATAAAACCAGAACTCGGCTGACTTCCTGACAAAGGTAGCAATTCCGACCATTGAACTATAAATAAACTG